TTTTTTTTTTTGAGTTGGAGTCTCACTCTGTCACCCAGACTGGAGTGCAGTGGCACGGTCACCCCAGCGTCAACCTGCTGGGCTCCAGCGATCCTTCCACCTCAGCCTTCCAAGGAGCCGGAACCACAGGCGCGCACCACCATGCCTGGCTAATTTTTATTTATTTATTATAGCGACGAGGTCTCACAAGTTGCCTGGGTGGGTCTCCAACCCGCGGGCTCAGGCGATCCATGCGCCTCGGCCTCCCAAAGTGCTGGGATTACAGGCTGAGCCACCCAGCCCAGCCGAACTCGTGTATTCTTTACCACTTGCTTTCTTCTTTTTGAGTCGGGGTCTCACTGTCACTCAGGCTCGAGTGCAGAGGCACCATCATGGCCACCGCAGCCTCGACCTGCTGGGCTCAGGCGATCCTCCCCCTTCAGCCTCCCGAGGAGAGACGAAGTCTTGCTGTGGCCTAGGCTGGACTCGAATTCCTGGGCTCCAGCGATCCACTCTCCTCGGCCTCCCAGGTTGCTGGGATACCAGGCAAGCCACAGCCCCTGGCTTGCCACTCTTTCTATCGATGAGGAAACAGGCCCACAGGCCCAGAGCCACTTGCTCACCCCAGAATCCAGACCGGGGACTCAGGTGGACAGGGAGGGATGTCCTGACCCCCGCTCTCTGCTCTCAGGGCAGGAGGACTACGACCGGCTGCGGCCCCTGTCTTACCAGAACACCCACCTTGTGCTCATCTGCTATGACGTCATGAACCCCACCAGCTACGACAATGTCCTCATCAAGGTGAGGCCTGCCAGAGGGGGAGGGGGAGACCGGGCTCTGCCCACCCGTCCGTCCGTCCATCCGGACACCCTGCCCTCTCCGCCCTCTCGCTCCACAGTGGTTCCCTGAGGTCACACACTTCTGCCGAGGGACGCCGGTGGTGCTCATCGGCTGCAAGACGGACCTGAGGAAGGACAAGGAGCAGCTGAGGAAGCTCCGGGCCGCCCAGCTGGAGCCCATCACCTACGTGCAGGTCGGCTGGGTCCTCCCCCAACAGCCCCGCGCGCAGCCTGGCTGAAAAACCTCCCACAACCCTGGCCTCTGCAGCCGGGGGCGCCTTAGAGAAGCCTTTTGGGCGCTGAAGCAAGCAGGATTCTAATGATTTCAAAACATCTGAGGTGAAAGGATTGCCTGAGTGCAGGGGTTCGAGACCAGCCTGGGCAACTTGGTGAGACCTTGTCTCTACAATAATTAAATTAAAAAAAATCAGCCAGGCATAGTGGTGCATGGCTGTGGTTCTAGCTACTTGGGAGGCTGAGATAGAAGGATCACCTGAGCCCAGCAGGCCAAGGCTGCGGTGGCCGGGAGCGTGTCACTGCACTCCAGCCCGGGCAGCAGAGTGAGACTCTAACTCAAAAGAAAAAAAAAATTAGTACTGGTAGCCGGCCAGGCTCGATGGCTCAGCCTGTAATCCCAGCACTTTGGGAGGCTGAGGTGAGTGGATTGTCTGAGCCTGTAGGTTCGAGACCAGCCTGGGCAACTTGGCAAGACCCCCATCTCTACAATAAATAAAAAAATGAGCCAGGCATGGTAGCGTGTGCTGCTGGGGTGGCTGTGAGCATGCCAGCCTGGGCGACAGAGTGAGACTCCAACTCCAAAAAAACTTATTTAATCCTTGTAACTCGGAGGCAGGTCGTGTTAACATCCTCCAGTTTACAGGGGAGAAATTGAGGCGCAAAGAGGTGAAGCACCTTGCCCAGGGTCACAAAGCTAACTTGAAGTGCAGCTGGGATCTGGTCCCACCCACACAGGCTCCAGAGTCTGGACTTTTAACCAACACCCTGTCCTGCCTACCCAAGGGGGTGTAGTCCAGGCCCGGGAGGCAGGCCCTTGTTGGAAGATAGATTTCCCCTCCCCACAGGAGCCGCGGGCACAGCCAAACCTGCAGCTCTTGGTGAGGCATGGGGGAGGCAGAGTGAAAGGAACACTAATAAAAATTAAGAAACTTGAATAAAAAGGAAGCATTGACAAAGACAGATTCATTTAAAGTCAAGAAAATTAGCCAGCCGTGGTGGCTCACACAGGTAAACTCAACACTTTAGGAGGCTGAGGTGGGAGGATCACTTGAGGCCAGGAGTTTGAGACCAGCCTGGGCAATGTAACATGACCCCCATCTCTACAAAAAATTAAAATATTAGCCAGGCATGGTGGTGTCCCAGCTACTCGGGAGGCTGAGGCAGGAGGATAATTTGAGCCCAGGAATTTGAGGCTGCAATGAGCTATGATGGTGCCACTGCACTCCAGCCTGGGCGACAGAGTGAAAGACTCTGTCTCTAAAAAAATGAAAAAAAAAAGTTTTTACTTTTTTTTTTTTTTTTTTTTTTTTTTTTTTGAGTTGGAGTCTTTCTGTTGCCCAGAATGGAGGGCAGTGGCACCCTCCCAGCCACCGCAGCCTCGACCTGCTGGGCTCAGGGAATGGTTCCGCCTCAGCCTCCCAAGTAGCTGGAACTCCAGGCACGGCCACCACGCCCAGCTTTTTTTATTTATTGTAGAGATGAGGTCTCGACAAGTTGCCCAGGCTGGTCTCAAACCAGTGGGCTCAGGCAATCCTCTTGCCTCAGCCTCCCAAAGTGCTGGGATTACAGGCATGAGCCGCCGCCACGCCCAGCTATTTTTACCCTAATAGCAAGTTCAGTTGCCTAAATTGTGCTTCAGAGAAGAGAAAGGAGACAGGGACAGGAGGTCCCTTCAGTCTTGAGACTCCGACTCTTCTCAGGGGCCTGGGAAAGACATCCTGGGAGAACCAGCCCAGTTCTCAGAATTCAGGCCAACTCCCCTCCTGAAACGGGAAGCCAGAGTGGGGCGGGGCGTCTCCGGGGCTGTGGGCAGCACCAAACGGGCCCTGTGTTCCATCCCCCCGCTGGTGAGGGCTGTCCTGGGATGGAGGCGAGGGGCTCAAGCCCCGGAGACCCCCACAGCCCCCCCAACCCTGAAATCCCCAAGGAGGTATCAGGCACCTCCGGGTGCTGCACGCGCCACGCCCCTCCCCTGATGCCAGCTCCCCCCTCCCCCTTCCAGGGCCTGAGCGCCTGTGAACAGATCCGAGCTGCTCTCTACCTGGAATGTTCTGCCAAGTTTCGGGAGAACGTGGAGGATGTCTTCCGAGAGGCTGCCAAGGTGGCCCTCAGCGCTCTGAAGAAGGCGCGGCGGCAGAAAAAACACCGGCTCTGCTTGCTGCTGTGACCCCAAGGCAGGAAGCCCGCATGACAGCACTGACAGGGCCCGGGTCCCAGGCCCAGACTGCACCCCGGATCCCGCCCTGTCCCCAGCTCTCCAGTGCCTGGCATGTGAGGCTTGTGGCTAGACTCTTGGAACATTCTGGAACTCTCTCCCAGCTGAGGCTCTGACCACAGACTCACCCCCGGGCCCTCCTGGAGTGCAGCAGTGGATGAGGGTGCCGGGTTCTCGTCCCTCTGTGCCCTGGAGCCAGTGACTGTTCCCCGGGCTCAAGAGTCCCTCTCACAGCCACCCCCACCTGCAAGTGTCCCCCTCTGCAGACTCAGCATATGCTTGAAATCCACACCTGCCCCTGTGGCGGTTAGTATGGAGTTGGCATTGTTCCACATAGGCGCCCGAGTCCGCAGTTCTCATGTCACCCGCCTCCCGGGCTCCCGAGATAGCCACGGCTGCATCCTCCAGTTCTTCCTTCCTTCCCCCAGGAACTCGGGGGCCACCGTGGGGCCAGTGCCTATCAGGAGGCAACAGCCCCGGACAAGGAGCTGGCACCAACCCCTCCTCCATCCCACACGGAAGCCCTCAGGCTGTCAGCTGGACCACCGTCTTTACAGAGTTGGGCGTGCGTGCCCAAGGGGGAGAGGAAACAGTCTCAGAAGTTAAAAGAACACCCAGGACCACTCACTTGACCCCCAAGGTCTTGCCCAAAGCCCACTGCCAGAGACTCCGTGGAAAGGGCCACCAGAACCCTGTGTGGTCATAGGCGAGTCGGCTTGCTCTCCCCATTGGCAGCAGGACAGAACTGGCCCATTTAAATGGTCGCCAAACTTCCTGCCTTCCGTCCCTCATGGCCTCCGTGTCTACTGGCCTGCAGCGTTCAGCAGCCTAGACCGTCCTGCCACTTTTGAGAGATCGGCTGGTGGAATTGGCCCCTGCCCACGTGGGCGTTTTCTCAAAACTGGTCCATGGACCACCTGTGGCAGCAGACACCAGACACCTGAGCCCGACCCTTCTTCCGGGAGGCCTGGGGTAGGGTTCCAGGACTTTTGAACAAGTGGCCCAGGTGATTCTAATGGCCAGGAGAGATGGAGGGCTGCTTGGTGCTGAAGTGAGCCTGGGAGTTGGTGTTACCTAAATGGCATAACGGCTTCAGGTGGCTCCTGTCTTCCCTGGTACCTGCTGCCTCAGCCTCCTTTGCCCGGTGCTGGGGCCTCAGGTAAGCCTGAGCATCTCGAGTCAGGCTGCCAACGGAAGGGGCCTTCTGAAACCTGTCCCACCCCACCTAGGCTCCCCTGCCACCTTCTGGGTTATCAACCAAGGCCCTCTTGTTATTAGAGAGTTCAGGGCCTCATGGACAAATGGTCTGAGGCAGAGGTCAGCAAACTACAGCTTGTGGACCACATCTGGCCTCAGCCCGATTTGTGAATAAAGTTTTATTGGAATGGGCCACCCAATTCCTTTATGCATTGGCTTCTGCCCTACAACTGCAGGCTAGAGGGGTTGCCACAGAGGCCATCTGGCCCACAAAGCCTAAAATATTTACCATCTGGCCCTTTACAGTTTGCTGACTCCTCATCTAGGACAAACCCAGGTGCCAAATAAGGGCCAGACAGGACACCCAGGCAAGTGGAGTAAGACAGGGATAAAGGAGTGGCCAGCCTGCAGCAAACTGGAAAGCAGATGCCTTATCCACCTGCGGGAATGTTGCCAGATCCTTCCATTTGTCTAGGGAAAGCGGAAGTCTGGAGTTTTGTGTGGAATCTGTGGGGAAGGGAAAAATCTCATTTCAAAAATGTAACTAGCCAGGTGTGGTGGCTCATGTCTATAATCCTAGCACTTTGAGAGGTGGCAGCAAGAGGATTGCCTGAGCCCATGGGTTTGAAACCAGTCTGGGCAACTTGGCAAGACCTCATCTCTACAATAAGTCAAAAAGTTAGCTGGGCGTGGTGGCACACATCTGTAGTTCCAGCTACTTGGAAGGCTGAGGTGATAGGCTTGCCTGAGCCCAGCAGGTCAAGGCTATGGTGGCTGTGAGCAGCGTGTCACTGCACTCCAGCCTGGGCGATAGAGACTCCAACTCAAAAAATAATAATAATTTAAAAACTTCAAAATCTCTGAGGGGCAAACATGGCCTGCCTGCGGACCCCAGCTGCGAAGCTGGGTCCAGGTGGATGTGTAGGACATCGTTAAGGGCAGCTGAGGCCCACACACGGGAGAAGGGGCCGAAGCTCAACCCTCCCTGCTGGCCTCTCCGCAGCCCTATCAATCCAGAGTCTAACACCAGCTGAGCGACGCCCTGCCCAGCCCCTCCCTGCCCCACCTTCCAGAACCTCTGGGGCGGAGGGCCGTGGAGCGTGAGTGACCTCTGCGATGGCTTACGTCCCACCTCCTGAGCACGTGCTGCAAGCTGGGGAAGGTGGGCTTCAGGATGGTGTCGGGAAGCCCCTAGGAGCAGAGGGAACTTCCCGGGTCAGAAACGCCCTTGGCCGCCAGACCGGGGCGGGGTCGGGGCGCCCTCTGGTGGCGACTTTCCTTAAAACCCTCAGGACCCCTCTGAGTGGCGCCGAGGGGCCAGCAGGTGGGCAGCTCAGGCATCAGAAGAGGCAAACACAGACAGTGGTTCTCGGAGACCTTAGATAATCCCCCGCCGCGGGGCATGAGGGCGGGGGGCTCACAGCAGAAGCAGAGTCACCCGGGGAGGGAGGCGCCACGGGGAGCTGAAGGGTTTCAGTCCACCCCCAGCCCAGGACTCGGTAAGTAGCAGGTCAGCGTAAGTCCAACCCCGGTGAGGCACATCCAGACCCCAACTCGGGGGGTTCAAATGACGGGAGTAGGGCAGAGGGGCTCCCTGAGGTGTCAGGCCCCTCCCCCAGGAAGACTGGCCCAGTCTCGGCTGGTGCGAGGGCACAGGGGGAGGCCTCGGAATCCAGGGACAGTGGGAGGACCCGGCATTAAATATATCATAAATAGGTGGGCTAATACTGTGCGGACGGGCGGGGTCACAGTCCTCTTGTCCGGCTGGGGACCCGGGCCTCGCCCGCTCCCAGCGTCGCGCTGGCCCCTGAAGTGGCCGATGCCTCGGAGGAGCTCGGCAGCCCCCGCCCCAGCAGCCTCAAAGTCTGGGGACCCGAGGGGCCCGGGAGTCCGTGGCTCATGGCTGCTTTGTCTTGCTTCTGTTCTTCTGGAGTTTGGCATGCACGACTTTGAGTGTGGTCAAGAAGTTGCCAAGGAAAAGGACCAGGAAGGTGAGCGCCAGCACGAACACCTGGGGGGGCGGGAGAGGAGGGAGGAGCTGGGCCCCACCACCCTTCGGGAAGTCACTTCCCTCCCCCGCCCCCAGCACAAGCTGCCCGGAGACTGTAGGGTTTAGGTGGCAGAAGGCAGAGATGTGGGCGGCTTGGGTGAAGGGAGTGAGTCTCCGGCTCTGGTAAGGGCCTGGGGGTGCATTCTGGGGGTGAACCTCCTTGGAACTGGGATCCCCACAGGGCTCCCTGGCCTCCTGGTTCCCTCTCACCCACGTATCCCAGGCCCCAACAGCAGAGAGCTCCAGGCGGCAGGCCCCACGTGGGATGGGGGAGAAGGCTGAGGACAGAATTTCCCCCCAAGCTGGCCCAGCCCTCCCCAGGAACCTTCCTGTGCGCCTGTGCAACACACACACACACACACACACACACACACACCCCATACCTGCCATTCTCTGCATTCCTCGTGGCTGGAGAGCTCAAACAACGTGATGGCATTGTAGAGCTGCCAGAACTGGCGGGAAGGAGGGAGGGAGACAGGTCCCGCTCACCACCCACTCCCAGAGACCCACGTGGAAAGCCAAGGAGAGGGACCAGCTCCCCCCTAGCTTCAGGTATCAACGCTCAAGACACCGACACCCCCCACCAAAAAGCCAAGGCCAGAGCAGGTCGAGGGCCGGTTCCAGCTCCTGCTCTTGGCGTCTCCGGGCCCCAGAACCCGGTGGGGCCTGGCATGAGGACAACTAAGAAGGAGGGACAGACTGCAGACCCTCTGTTCCCTGGTCGGCCCAGACAGGAGAAACCCACAGGCCACCCCCAGGGGGAGGGGGGGCAACTCACGTGACCGCAGAAGAGGAAAGGCAGGAGGAAGGTGAGGCCCCGCCACATCCAGGACTGGAAGCCTTCTGTGGGGATGTGGGGAGGAGGGAGGAGCAAAGCCCGTGAGGGGGGCTTGGGTGCCCTCACAGCCCAACACATGTCACCCTGAGACGAGCCGGGCCCCAGCACACACGTGCAGGGGAATGGCCCTCACCTGTCACAGGTACGTGTTCACTATGACAATAACAGCCCCAGTCACCAGGCCTGAGTGCTCTCACTGCCCAAGTCACCATGAGCCATGTGGGCCTAGCAACACTTGGCGTCAGGTACTGTGTGTTCACTAAGTTTTGCACAGAGTTTTGCATTTATAAGGGACTTTCGCACGCACCACTTCTACTGAGTCTTTTTTTTTTTCCCTGAGTCAGAGCCTCACTCTGTCACCCAGGCTGGAGTACAGTGGAATGTTCACAGCCACCACAGCCTCAACCTACTGGGCTCAGGTGACCCTTCCGCCTCAGCCTTCCAAGTAGCTGGAACCACAGGTGCACGCCACCACACCTGGCT